TGTGAACATTTTCTCAGAACAAAAATGTATAATATTGTAATATACTTGCTATAGCAGTTCATATATAGCAGGTTGCAAAACACTCTGAAATACATTCTTCATATTTGTAGCATTAGCCAAAAAAAAAAAACATTGTATGAGTTAAAATTATCGATTTTTTTTTTCTCCAAAAATCATTAGGATATTAAGTAAAGATCATGTTCCATTAAGATATTTTGTAAATTTCCTACCATAAATATATAAAACCTTAAGTTTTGATTAGTAATATGCATTGCTAAGAACTTAATTTGGACAACTTTAATTTGCGATTTTCTCAATATTTAGATTTTTTTGCACCCTCAGATTCCAGATTTTCAAATATTGTCCTATCCTAACAAACCATACATCAATGGAAAGCTTATTTATTCAGCTTTCAGATGATGTATACATCTCAATTTCAAAAAAATGTACCTTTTTGACTGGTTTTGTGGTCCAGGGTCACATGTAATGAATATATATTTATTCTGAATTATTATGCAGACAGCTTAATAATTATATCGTTTATTAATTTACCAATTTCTGCTTTCTGATAGTGTTGGTCAATTTTTAGTTTTATGAACTGTTTTTGGTGTTGTATAATTGTCTTATTGTTCAAATTTAGCTGAAAAGTCATTAAAGCTTCTCATTGTGACAGCTTATGCCACATAGTAAGAACAAGTTCATTTAACACATTTTAGTAAATCAAAGTGTGTTAAATTAACTGTATATATGTGAAATATATATATATATATATATATATATATATATATATATTATGCATCTTGTAGACAACACTTCAAGGTGTGTCTAGACAGAATTTCTATTAATCAACCTACTCTGTAAAATATTCACTGGCCTAAATGTGTGACAAATAGCCCCGGTCTGATGCACCTATAGATTATACGCCATTTCACACATTGACAAGTGATGGTTACACATCTTCATCATCGTCGCACTGTCGACCGTTTCCGCCGCAGCAGCGAAATCCTACTACAATGTGCGCCTGTCCATCCTGATCCTGAGTGAGGGATGCTGGAGAGAGCCCACCCGCCCCGCGGAGCAATGTCTGCTCAATCCTTCAAACATAATGATAGACGGGCTGTGGGTGTGGATAGACATTAAAGCAATGCAGAAGAGCCATCATCATCATCATCATCATCAGGCGAGGGTTACCGCAGAGCCCGGAAATCTGAGCGAGCACATTGGCTATACAGCACTGTAGTGACTCATTTCCGCGAATCGGCTCTTTTGAACAGTTCGTTTCAAAGAACGGATTCAAAACACCGATTCTTTTACGCCATTACACCACCCCGCGGTGCTTAGAACACAAATATAACTTGCATTTACAGTAAACAATACAAAAATTTTCATCTCCAAGTTGAAAATATTTTAATATATTATAAACAACTGTCTATATAGAATGTGAGTTGATAAAGCGGTGTTGATTAAGTGGCTAAATATATCAAAAACTTTTATCTGTAGTATCTCTGCTATTGAAATGTCTGCTGTTTTAGGCTCATTGCAAGTCAAAAATGTTCAAAAGGAGACTGTCAGTTCAATGAATCGGTCAGTTGTTGATTCCAGAACCGCTCGAACCGATTCGTCAACGCATCGCTCAGTCCGTTTATTGACTCGGTTGAAAAGATCCGATTAAAAAAAAAACGAGTCGTTCACGAATCGGACATCCCTACAGCACTGCAGCACGCTGAGGTTCACTCTACTGTTACAATCACAAGATTCATTATAAGGAATTCACGCATTACATTATATGATGTCGATCATCATACGTTCAAGCGTAAACTGCAACGTTATATCATCAGGCTTGGTTGCGCTGCGTTTTATATTGAAAAGCCCAGTGCGAATATCTGGCATCTCATCCCCCCCAATTAAACTGTCCCATATGTACCGCATCCATCAGCCAACATAAGCAAGACACAAGGTGTGCTGACGCTACTGTAGAAACCGGTAAATGCATCTTTAGCTGGCAGCTGCGATCATGACGGTTAATGATACAGGAGATTCCGGAAATGGACAATGGCTAAAATATTTGAAATGTAGGTGTCTGTGTTCTGGGAAATACCTCGGTATCGGTGTCCGTGTTCACAATATCCTGTGTTTTATGGCAGAAGGGGAACCTGTCCCGTACGATCCCACCTTGATCGGCTTAAGCGAAACCTGCGCGGATTCACGCGCGCCGGTGCGTAACGGCCACACGCCTGCCTTTTACCTAATAACCGCGGCGTCTTTGGTAGACTTTGCTCCTGTTTATTTCATTTTTTAATTCTTATCCGTTATCGCTTCATTGTAACGATTGCTTGTAGCGCTGGTAATTCCAATGACCTTATAATTTTCTTACTTCAGCCCGCCTCCTCTCTATTCGCCGGTGCTGTGTGTGCAGTGATTGACAGCTCTTTGAACCAATCGCGTTCTCGGAGCTCTGCCGTTTAGCTCAGGAAAGGCGGGGCTTAAAGTCCTGTCAAGGAAATGTGGCCCAGCTAGCGAATCATCAGAGCGGGTTCCGCCCGGTAGTCGCAAAGCAGCTCCGCAGGACCTTGAGGCATGATGGAGGAGAAGGAGGGCTATTGTCAGATATCTGCCCAGCTGCTGGCCATTGTAAATGCAAAAACAGCTGTTTGTGTACATTAAAATTATATAATGTATATGGCAATTCAAACGTGTTAAGAGGCAGGCCTTTTTACTTTAAATGAATGCTCTGAAATGATATGGAGTCAAGGATGTTTTCATTTATTTAAAATGCACGAATCCGTCTTCCGGAAGCGTTAAAACACCGTTCATCTAACTTATCTACTTTCTCTTTTTTTAGATTATTAAAGATGCAAAATCAATTTGACCATATTTTCTTTGTTAATATGAGTTTATGGTTTTATTGTGCACAACCAGTACCAATTAGTGTGCATAAAAAATATATATCCATCCTAATATTAAATGACCAGCCTGCTGCTTAAACAACTGTGTCACAAAAGCCTTATTTTTCAATCCCTTATAAAATGGGTTGCGGAGAACATTTTGTTGACATGCTTTGCCTAACAAATTACTTTTCAACGAATCTGTTCATGCTCTTTTATAACTAATCACAATATTTTCTGGTTCATTAATATATACATATACATATATACACACACACACAATAACATTACATTTTGCAAGATTACTGTTTTTTTCTGTATTTTTGATCAAATAAATGCAGACTTGATGAGCACAAGAGACTACTTTAAAAAACATTACAAGTTTTACTGATCCCAAACTTTGGACCGGTAGTGTATATATATATTTGGCATGTCCGAGAACGGTCAATTAAAATTGCATGTGGTAATAGAAGCAAAACAGACATTTCTTGTTTTGATTTCGTAAATCCACTTCACTTCGGATATCATGTTTGATAACATTTTACAACTGTCAGTTTAACGAGGCAAATTTGCTATCAGTGTAGCAGATTCCAAAAATATTGAGACAGTCTAATATTCACTATCTTAACTTACATAAAGTGTATTTAGTTCAACTTTTACACAGTTAAATCAGTTTTTGTAACACAAAAACATTTGAGCAATCACATAAATATGGCATATAAACTTTGAAATAAATACATTTGTTTGTTTTATGTAGAGTAACAAACTGAAATTGGAAACCAACAGTAATGCAGTTAAATCAATTTGCCATAGGACTTGCTCGAAGGAATAGTTCACCCGTAAACAAACATTTGTATGACTATTTACACTGTTATGACTGACTTTCTTCAGTGGAACACAAAATAAGATGTTTTGAAGAATGTTCATGCTGCTCTTTGCCATGCAATGCAAATGGGCTGTAAAAGTCTAAATAAGAGTTTTGTGAATATTCTTCAAAGTTTCATCTCATCTCGTTTTGGGTTCCACTAAGAAAGTCAGTCGCACAGGTTTTGAAACAACATGAAGGTGAGTACGTGATGACCGAAATGTAATTTTTGGGTGAACTATTCCTTTAATTCACCAGATTTGGATGACAAGTTTATGGGCGTAGACAGATTTTCATACACAATCTCTCATGAAGAAAAAACACCGTGCTTTTGGCACAAACACAATGTGAGGAAAAATGTGTGCAGTGCAGCAGCTGAGATAAACTCTGAGGCAATTCTTCTCACAATGTTGACAGAAGCCTTTCCATTTCTTTGAAGGTTTATATGTATCATGGACTCAGAGTTAAAGCGATAGTTCACCCAAAAATTTGGTTAAAATGTACTCACCCTCAAGCCATCCAAGATATAGATGAGGTTGTTCCTTCATGGGAACAGATTTAGAAAAATTTAGCATTACATCACTTTCTCACCAGTGGATCCTCTGCAGTGAATGGGTGCCGTCAGAATGAGAGTCCAAACAGCTGATAAAAACATCACAATAATACACAATCCACACCACTCCAGTCCATCAATTAGTGTCTTGTGAAGTGAAAAGCTGCGTGTTTGTATGAAACAAATGTATCAGTAAGATGTTTTCACTTTAAACCTTCGCTTCTGGCCAAAATATCGGTCCATAATCCATAATAACTCTTCCTCCAGTGAAAAAGTCCATCCTCTGTTGTCCTCTCACATCAAAATCCACCAACGTATTTGTTTAGAACTGTTTTTTGCTTGTAAACGGTTCTTGATCTGTGCATATTTCTTTCCTGATTCAGAAGATATTACTTTTTCACTGGAGAAATCAATATAAATTCAAATCAAAGTTAAAAACGTCTCATTGATGATTTTGTTTCTTACAAACATACAGCTTTTAATTTCACAAGACATTAACTGATGGACTGGAGTGGTGTGGATTACTTGTGTATTATTGTGATGTTTTTATCAGCTGTTTGGACTCTCATTCTGACGGCACCCATTCACTGCAGAGGATCCATTGCTGAGCAAGTGACGTAATGCTACATTTCTCCAAATCTTTTCCAATGAAGAAACAAACTCATCTACATCCTGGATGTCCTGAGGGTGAGTACATTTTCAGCAGATTATCATTTTTAGCTAAAGGAACTATTCCTTTAAGAATGTTAATTTCACTGAAATGTCTCAATTTCTCTCATCCACCACAACAACAGCATGAAGAAAACAACCTGGTGTATTTGCTATAAATACAAAGATATAACACTAACAGTATTAAGATGCCTTCCAGTTACTCGATCTCCTCTCATGAAGCTCAGTCAGTCGTCCAACTCGAGGCCAAAGTGACTGTACAAGTCTCGTGTGGTCACTCCACGCAGGCCGGCTGAGAGAGACACAGAGAGACAGTTGTCTTTGTCAATGGTCACATGGGGGACAATGACGTGGCACAGACCCCCTCTGGCCCTCAGACCAGCTGAAGTCACAGCAAGGCTGAAGCGGGCAAGAAACTCAGCATGCTGGGAGTCTGAAAGGGTCCATTATATTACAGAATGCAGCGATAATACCAGGGATGCCATTATCATAATCCTGACACTAGACAGAAATGCCAAGCGTATAGAGGCTGTAACCCACTTATATGAGTGGGATGGGAGATGTGTGTAGGCCACAAGTGTTTATGGAGAGGGGATAAACAGTTAACACAGTATGAAATGTGAAATATGTTGAGTATCAGACCAACATAAATCACGATTGCAGGTCTTACCTAATCTGCCCAGCAGAGTTTGTCCGATGTCTTTGATGTCATTGTATTCGTGCAGCAGGTCGATGTGTTGATCCAGCTCTTGTACAACAAATCCTCTACAAACACAAGAACAGAGGAACACAAGCTCAGTTTAATATGACAATAAATCACAATGAAGCACTTTCTTTTCTTAGGTAGTCTAACAATGTAATTAACAACGAAGAACCAGATTATTTTAGATATTTTTATGTATTGTATTAAAGGAATAGCCTCATATATGAAATAATTGTCACAAAAATATACATTTCTGAAATGCAACAGTTTATATATACAGTGGTGTGAAAAAGTGTTGGCCCCCTTCCTGATTTCTTATTTTTTTGCATGTTTGTCACACTTTAATGTTTCAGATCATCAAACAAATTGAAATATTAGTTAAAAATACATGCAATTTTTAAATGAAGGTTTTTATTATTAAGGGAAATTGTTTCTGAATTTCTTTGGATCTCGGCATGATGTCTAGCTTTTGAGGATCTTTTGGTCTACTTCACTTTGTCAGGCAGGTCCTATTTAAGAGATTTCTTGATTGCGAACAGGTGTGGCAGTAATCAGGCCTGGGTGTGGCTAGAGAAATTGAACTCAGGTGTGATAAACCAGTTTTAACAGGGGGGCAAACACTTCTTCACACAGGGCCATGTAGTTTTGGATTTTGTTTTCCCTTAATAATAAAAACCTTCATTTAAAAACTGCATGTTGTGTTTACTTGTGTTGTCTTTGACTAATATTTAAATTTGTTTGATGATCTGAAACATTTAAGTGTGACAAACATGCAAAAAAAAAAGAAATCAGGACAACACTTTTTTTCTCACCCCTGTATATATATATATATATATGTGTGTGTGTGTGTGTGTGTGTGTGTGTCTGTGTCAAACTAAATTTGTATGCATACAAATAAATTGAGCTATATTTATGGCTCATAGTATGAGAATATTCTGCTCATTCTCAAGGAGGAAAAAAAAACACATCTATTTTATTCAGAGGCACAAACTGCAAAAATATGAAATTTTTAGTTGCTGATATTTAAATGGCCAAAAAGTGAACTGAAATTCTGATAGCTTGTAATGTAAATTAATGAGAACTTTATAACAGTATAACAGACTACTTACATAAAATGCATATAAATATCATATTGCACTCTATATCTCACTATAATGTCCTTGTAAGATGATATTTAAATGCTTAGTTTTATGACAAAAGCTCTGTAGTTTCAAAACATATAATGCAATGCAATGCAATGATGATTGAGAGATGAACAAATAAAAGTTCTTTAAAAGACTGATCGATCATATTTGATACTCACAGTTTAACATGATTTAAAAAAAATAAAAATAATGATGTATGGATAATCAAGTAAACTTAAGTTGCTTCAGTCCAGTAAGTGTTCATGAAATATTACTAACAACTTAGAAGTTATTCTTTATAAAAAAGAGTGTTTACGTTATAACAGCTAGTAAATATTCACATCAAAAAGACACATGAACTTGAAGCTAAAGGTGGACATAGCTAAAAAAAAAAAAACGATGAATTATCAATCAGACGACAGAAGGCATGTAGTGGACAGTGTATAATACCTTTTCAGCCAAATTTTAACCATGTTAATAATTTAGAGGCCTTAGAAGATTGTATCCCATATGATTCAGTAGGCATCAAGGGGTTAACAGTGCTGCATTCGTTATTTAATTTCATTGAGTTCAATTTCACTAAATGGAAAAGAGTGAAGCATGGTCTTCAGAACATATTCAGTGTGCCACAAAAAAAAAAGAACGTCATGCAGTTTTAGCACGACACGAGGGTGAGTCAATAATGGCAAATTTTAATGTATGGGTAAATTATTCCTATTAAAATGTTGCATACGAGTTCTAAAACTCTAATGGAATCACTTGCCATCTCCCACATTATTTTTTCTGCAGTGCACATTTTTATTAAAAAGTTTTTTTAATAATCTCCCAACAACCTTAAACCAAGAAAATAATTCTGAACCTAATATTCCTTGCTATCGTCAGTATGAACATACAACAGCATATTGTATCTCTTTTTTCCACATTCACTACCTACTCCTTTTCCAACAAGTCGATCTCTGAATCCAGCCGATCAAGTGTTTTCTTGAGCTCCTGGACTTCTACCACAGGGCACACTGGAGATTTCACCATACTAGGCTTCTGCACATGTGACAGACCACAGACAGCTCACCACATATGCATATCTATGGCAAGCCGTTTTAACATTTAATCTATAAACCGCACTAGTTACTTATCCATTAGATACTAATACTCATCCATTAGATACTAGTACTCATCCATTAGGTACTAGTACTCATTCATTAGGTACTAGTACTCATTCATTAGGTACTAGTACTCATTCATTAGGTACTAGTACTCATTCATTAGGTACTAGTACTCATTCATTAGGTACTAGTACTCATTCATTAGGTACTAGTACTCATTCATTAGGTACTAGTACTCATTCATTAGGTACTAGTACTCATTCATTAGGTACTAGTACTCATTCATTAGGTACTAGTACTCATTCATTAGGTACTAGTACTCATTCATTAGGTACTAGTACTCATTCATTAGGTACTAGTACTCATTCATTAGATACTAGTACTTATCCATTAGATACTAGTACTTATCCATTAGATACTAATACTTATCCATTAGATACTAATACTCATCCATTAGATACTAGTACTCATCCATTAGGTACTAGTACTCATTCATTAGGTACTAGTACTCATTAATTAGGTACTAGTACTCATTCATTAGGTACTAGTACTTATCCATTAGATACTAATACTTATCCATTAGATACTAGTACTCATCCATTAGGTACTAGTACTCATTCATTAGGTACTAGTACTCATTCATTATCATTCATTAGGTACTAGTACTCATTCATTAGGTACTAGTACTCATTTATTAGGTACTAGTACTCATTCATTAGATACTAGTACTTATCCATTAGATACTAGTAGTAGCCATTTGGACTAGTCATAACATCAGACAAGTAAAAAAGCAGATCTGACTAGTAAGATAAGAATTGTTACTAGTAGTAATTACAAAAGATACTAGTGTCTAATAAATAAGTAGTAGTACCTAATGAATAACTACTAGTATCTATTAAATAGTTACTAGTATCTAATGAATTTGTACCAGTATCTCATAAATAAGTACTAGTATCTAATGAATGCTTACTAGTAATATTTAAATAGATACTAGTCACTATTGCAATAATTACTAGTCAGAAATTAAAAGATGATATCAAAAACAGAATAACTACCCCTCCTTATTCATTTGGAGATATCTTCAACCTCATAAAGAACTAGTGAGAATGTATTTGGAGCCGTTTTTTGTCTTATTGCAAGCAACTCGTCTCTGTTCTGGACTTGCACAAACTGCGTTGCAATGCAATCGTTTTCCAAAATGTAATTTATGTGAAAATATGAAGTCTGTAAATGCCCGTTAACACAGGCCAGAGACGTTGAAGACGGACGCACAAAGAAAAATACTGTAGCAGGCAGATCACTCACTGTTCATGATGCACGAACTATTGGAAGAAAATCCTCAATATTGATTTGGGGGTTTATATGAATGTGTTTCTGAGGGGAACTGACTGTCTTCAGAAAAGTTTACATGGTATTTTCTTTTAATCTCGTCTCTGTGTAGTTCACATTAAAGCAGTGTTTCAGCGCAGTGCTGCTTTGTTTACAGCGGTAACCAAGGAAACGCTGTATCTGGTGTTCTAGAAGCGCCTCCTGCTGTCAGAGAGTGTTTTTTTTTAACCCAGTCATTTAAAAATAACACATCTTAGAGCTGTAACGACAATACAGTGATACCGTGAAACCGTGATATTTTTTTTGCTCAAGGTTATCATACCGTCAAAATCTCATACCGGCCCATGCCTAAGTCCAACAAAAGTATAATGATATGTTTTAGTCCAAATTCACTACACAACATCAGTCGAGTCATTGAAATAACGTATTTTTGTGATCTGACATGGTTTCATTAAACAGAATGAGGCAGAAATCATGCCACTTTATATTATTCTATAAGTTACAGTGATAAAGGCTATGTCGATTAGCATTGCATTTTAAATATACTTTATTCTTATAAAAATACCCAAGATGGCTTGAAAAACAAATATAAAACCATATATTGTCGCAATCATTGTTTATTGTCTTCATGTTTCATCAGTGAAACGCCTATCTGCATGTTATTCAGCTACTAGGCTACATCTACAGCAAAAGCCGGATGTCTTTGTCCATATAAGGGATTTCCTGGAACGTCATCAGTGAGTCTCACTTGTGTTTGACTTGTTGATACTCTAAATCCCTCGCAACAGGCTGTTTGTTCTTACTCACTGTTAAAATCCAATTGTCATTGTACCTTAACAGTCTGTTTTCTAATTTCAAATGTTATTTGCAAAATGTTCTCACTTGTGGAGTTTCTGCGCAAGGGCACCCTCTGGCGACGAGTATGAATGAAAAAGAAATTACAATTGAGTACTCATTATTGCTCACAAAACCCTAATTTGGGTAAAAATAGCAAAAATTATTAAGAACTTTGGGTAAACATTTGCAAATCCTTACGTTTTTCTCAAGTGTAGAGAAGTGTAAATTTTTTTCTTATTCTTGCAGCTATATTTATTATTAAATACACAGTTTTGTATATTAGAGTGAAATAGTATTATTACAAAAGTAATATTCCTTATTTTGTTTAATGTTTATTATTTAGAAATAATAACCATAATCATTATTAGTTATGATAAAAACAACATTTTTGGGCAAATCGTGCAGCCCTACAAGTACAGCAAACCTGGTGTTTTTTTTTTTTTATTAATAATTTTTGACATTTTTTTCCAAATAAATGTTTGTCTGAAAACCATAAGGTTTGGATTTTGTGTGCCCTGTACAGAACATTAATGTGAAAACATTCAGTGTCTGTAGCACCAGTGTTATATGCAAAAAAGTTAACGTACAGCCCTGATATGATATTTATTGTTTTAACTGGAGGAAAAATAGGAAAATAATATATAATAAAATTGGTGTCTTATCTCCATCCTGCCACCAGAGGTCACTCGACCAGTGTGACCTGTACAGAATATTAATGTAAAAACATTCAGTGTCTGCAGCACCGGTGTGACCTGTACAGGACATTAATGTAAAAACATTCAATGTCTGTAGCACCAGTGCTATATGCAAAAAAAAGTTAACGTACAGCCCTGGTATGATATTTATTGTTTTTACTGGAGGAAAAATAGGAAAGTAACAGATAATACTGTTTAAGAAATTACAGTGTTTACAAAACTGACAAAAATACGTTTTCTATGTGCTTGTGTACAAATGATTGTTTTTTTCTATGTGGTTTCCTCAAAAAAAAAAAGTACATCCATCTCCTTGTTTTCGTTTCCTGTCTAATCTCTCTCCTATATGTTGCGGCTCATTAATATTCAACATACGATTACCATACTGGGCAGAAATGCAAATTTAAAAAGTACTAGTATCTATTAAATCTGGGATATCTTTGGTCAAAAAGGTTACTAGTAACTAAAAAATAAGTACTATGGAAAGCCGTTGTAACATTTAGTACAGAACATTAATGTAAAAACATTCAGTGTCTGTAGCACCAGTGCTAAATGCAAAAAAAAGTTAACGTACAGCCCTGATATGATATTTATTGTTTTTACTAGAGGAAAAAGAGGAAAATAATATATATTAAAATTTGTGTCTTATCTCCATCCTGCCACCAGAGGTCACTCAACCAACAAACACATTAGGCTACTATGTTTACGAAATTACAGTGTTTACAAAACTGACAAAAATACGTTTTCTATGTCCTTGTGTACAAATGATTGTTTTTTTCTATGTGGTTCCTTCAAAAAAAAAGTGCATCTGTCTCCTTGTTTTCGTTTCCTGTCTAATCTCTCTCCTATATGCTGCTGGCTCATTAATATTCAACATACGATTACCATACTGCAAATTTGCAAATGCAAATTTAAAAAATACTAGTATCTATTAAGTTCAGGATATCTTTGGTCTAAAAGGTTACTAGTAACTAAAAAATAGGTACTAGTTCTATTTTTTCTTATCAAGAAGAGTATAATTAAATGCTAGTATCTAATAAATAAGAACTATTATCAAATGAATAAGTACTAGTATCTTTACAAAAGGCACTAGTACTTAAAGAATAAACACTAGTACCTAAAGAATAAGCGCTAGTAGCTAAAGAATAAGCACTAGTAGCTAATGAATAAGCACTAGTAGCTAAAGAATAAACACTAGTACCTAAAGAAAAAGCACTAGTACTTAACGAATAAACACTAGTACCCAAATAATAAACACTAGTACCTAAAGAATAAACACTAGTACCTAAAGAATAAACACTAGTACCTAAAGAATAAGCACTAGTAGCTAAAGAATAAGTACTAGTAGTTAATTAATAAGTACTAGTACTTAATGGAAAAGATACTAGTATCTAAAAAATAAGTACTAGTAGCATGAAAATAGATACTAGTACGGCTTATAGATTAAATGTTAATATGTCTTTCCATACATATCAGCCTTAATTCTCATATCTGAAGTCTGTTATCAGTTATGCTACACAGCAAGTATCATGCGTGTTTTGTAGTTCAGTCATTCTTGAGAAGTGGGACAAAACAGGGTGCAAAATCTTCTCTGTGGACACACTGTTTTAGATGTAGTGAGAGGACATTAAGAAACATAGATTTGGTATAATAATGAGAAAATTAAATTGAAGGTAATTGTGTTAAATACATTCTATTATTAATCCCTCATGACATTTAAAATTGAAAATATTTTTATTTTTAAACCTAATAGCAGTTACCCTTGCCGGACCTGTTTTGTCCCATGTCTCAAGAATGACTGAGTTATCAAATTCTCATGAATGGTCTATGCATCACGTCACAAGTTACTCTGGTAAAATCACATACAGTAGTCCTCTGAATACATATGATTCAATTAAAAAACTTCCACGTTACGTACTGGAGATTTAAAACCTGAATTGACGCTCCTGGCGTTACATCTGGAATCTGGAGGTCTGTATAGAGTAAACAAACGTTGCTATTCATGCGAAAACAGATTTGTATTGAACGTTTGCAGAGTTGCTATATTTGTTTACCTTCTCCGTAAAGACACGCCCCTTTGCCGTGGCGTAACTTTGACGTGCGCACCAACAACGGATTCCGTGTTCATTTGTAGCTCCGCTGTCGCGTTCATTTCTTCCGAAATTGACGTTAAGTGTTCAGACGCGGAGATGATACGATTTTAACGAGCGAGCATCTTATTTACGCGCGAGTTTTGAGCGTTTAACGAGACGCACCAGAGCCTGTAAAAAGTCTGATGAAAAAATTCCCGCCTTGTTGCGTCATCATACGTAATCGCTCTGATTGGTTCTCTGAGGTATGAGCGTTTTGATTGGTCCATTGAAAACACTTCCGGTACACGCCATTAGATATTTTACGCACACACTGTAAAGTGTGGAAACAGATGTTATTTCTGCAAATAAGAGTCAGAAACTATTTTACACTTACGTTATACTAAATAATGTTCTCTAATTCGATTCATTGTTCTAGAGTGTCTTCACAAAAATATTCAATAAATGACAATACGACTAAAATTCTTACGGTTTTGGGGAACTTTCATATGCATACAGCAATAAACTGTGAATGTTAAACTTTGAAAAATAACCAAATAGGTTTTATTATGTAGCAAATAAATAAACACATTATAGATAGGATAAATGAGTAATGCAGTCATAAAGCAGTTTCATATCTTGTCGTTAGATGGCGGCATTTCACAATGTATGCAAAACCATAAAATGGGTGCGTTAGAATGTAAGGTGAAGAAAAGTATTTCAAATTTCCCAGTAGAAAGTTAGAGATTAGATATCAAAGCACAAAAACAGCGTTCATAACGAACATAGATCCAGTAAAACACTGCTTACAAGAACCAAACATGTATAACCAGGCAGTCTCACCGATGAGTAAAGTCATGGGAATTGATTGTGGGATATTTAGCGACAGTTACTGTAAATGGTTAAAAATGTGTCATCAATGCACCAAACGTTTTTCAGACCTTCTTTTAAAGAAAGCACCACTATATAAGTATGCAGAAGTAAAAGCGTGGTCCACTGACTGAACAGTGTTTGTATCCCAATAATGACATGACCTCCAGGCCCTCATCAGAGTGACTCCTACTCTTTCTAAATCACTGCACACAATTAAAATGTCCTTTGATTTGCTTAACAAACTGTATAGTATGGATGAAGGGAACACAGAATGTAACCTTTAGACAAAGAACTAAGGTGTTGCTGTGTGGTTGCTAGGTGTTTTGAATGTCTTCAGAACATCTTGACTGGATGTAATGCTGTAACACACATCTGAAGTGTGTGTGGTGAGATATTACACGCTTCTGTGAGAAGACTTGCGTTTTAGAGGGAGGAACGAGGAGGTGGAAATCCGCTGATGTTTAGATGTAGTTATCAGGGAAGCTGTTAAAATGTATCTCCTCTGCCAGTGTTCAGAGTTTCTGCTGCACAGCGAGAGAGAGTGAAAAACTAGTACATCGCACACTTTATCTGTGGCTACTAGTGCAGGTCTGAAGGGACGCGCGTTTATGATATAGAGGGCCTAACGCTGTGAGATATTTAGTTTGTCAATCATCACATAGATGATGGAAGAAGACATTTTTCAAGTCTTTCAGTTCATAATGATGATATGGAGACCCATCTGACAGGAAGGAGACAAAAGTGTTTAGTTCATGGTTAATTCTGTTATTTTGTCTCTCTCTGTGAATCCTTCACTACTGAGGTGAATCTCACAGAAACTAAAATGTCTGGGTTAATAAGAAATGACTTAATTACTGCCTAATTTCAAGTTAAAACAAGGGTACAAATTAAAGCAATTCTATTAATTATATAAAAACAGCAAAAGTAT